CATGACAGCATCTTAGCCTTAGTCCCTTAGACCTCTTTGTAGCATGTGACTTGATAATGAAAGGAAGAAATCATGGCTGCAGGTGCCTGGGGTATGAACCCAGGCAGCTCAGGCCTCCGAATCTGAATTGGCTGCTTGAAGGCCAGGTGACCTGGGTCTTACTTAGTTTCCTGAGAGTATGATTTCTCCAGCTGAAATAGTTAATGACAAAGTCCATCCTTCAGGGATGTCACAGTTACTACATTCCGTGATGTGGGCAGAGCCCCTGCCACACAGTGCCCTTCCTCATGTAACAGAAGCATCCTTACTTTTCTTCTTCGAAGCCTTCCCCTGCTGGGCACTGGGATCCTGGACCTGCCCACCAGCCCTCCCTCTGACACCCTGCAGTTCTGTGTTCCCTGGTTCAGAGGTCTGAGTCATGGAATTAATGGATAATTAAACAGCACATGTAGTGTTTGAGGAACAGAATGCCATGTCATTCATCAGGAAAGAAACACTGAAATTTGACTTCTAAGTTAGGTAACAGAACTGCTTCATGTCCTATGGGGAAATAAAACCATAACCTTTAAGCACATATTGTCTACCAGGAAAAAAAAAAAAAAAGGCACACCTTATCAGTTTTCTACACCTTAACCCCAACTCTCCAATCAAGGCTATGATCTGCCTGGGCCCTTGTCAGTCCCAGGTGGTCAGAGTGAACGCCACCCCCACAGCAAGAGAAAGTTGGTAGCTGTCCTGCTGGCTTGTGAGAAACTCTCCTAGCTTGGTACTGTTAAAAGAAAACTTCAGACATATTAAATTTATCAGACTTTAATTGAATTTAAAAAAAAATTCACGAATTGGGCAGCGTCCAGAATCACAGCAGATTCAGAAAGACTCCAAGGGTCCCTCGTGGTCAGAACAAACTTATGGACAAAAAGGGAAGTGAGGTACAGAAAGCGGAAGTGAAGTACAGAAACCGGAAGTGGGGTACAGAAACCGGAAGTGAGGTACAGAAAGCCATCTTGATTACAGGATGGCAAAGGCCTTTTCTGAATAGTTTGAGCTCTCAGCAGTGTATGAGCGGCTGAAGCAGGGCTGCTGGGATTGGCCAAGACCCAGCTATTGTTACAGGCGCACTCTCCTAAGTTGGGCTTTCACTCCTGTCTGCTTATTAAGTTAGACACACTCCTAATTTGGGTTTTCAATCTTGGCTACATTTATCCACAAGGACTCAAATAGAGAAGTATGGAGTCCTTCTTAGCCCAGACTCAGTTCGCTTTCACAGTACTAAATACCATTTTGCGCTATCGGGATTTTTTTTTTTCTAGGGTTTGGGGTATTTTCTCCTCCCCAGGCTTTCTCCCCTGTCTCTGACCTTCAGTGTGGGCATCTCCGTGAGGGGGTCCTTGACTCCTTGGCTCACCTGTGCCGCAGCTCCTCAGCAGCTCCGGGTGTCCTGTTGGGTGGACCTGGCCGTCCCTCTCAACCCACACGGCTGCCCGCAGCTTGCAGGAACCCAAGCTCAGCCGGGAAGCCTCAGCCTCAGGCTCCAGATCCTAATCGGCCCCTAGGACCAGTGACAGAGGTTTCAATATTTCCAGTCTCGAAGAAGCTGCACATTCAATGAACCCTGGTTAATTGTAACAGTCTCTTATTCCATTTTCATGGCCTTTATTTATTTATTTAAACATAACAAACATATTTATTTTATACTCTGTGTGGGGTTTTTTAAATAGAGTCTCACTCCATCACTGGGGCTGGTGTGCAGTGGCAAAATCTCAGCTCACTGCAACCTCTGCCTCCCAGCTTGGAATATGTCTGCCTCAGCCTCCCAAGTAGCTGGGACTAAAGGTGCACACCACCACACCTGACTAATTACTGTATTTTTAGCAGAGACAGGGTTTCCCCATGTTGGCCAGGCTGGTCTCGAACCTCTGACCTCAAGTGAACCGCCCACCTCAGCCTCCCAAAGTGCTGGTATTGCAGGTGTGAGCCACCACACCTGGCCAGTACTTTGTATCTGGCCATTCCAATGTTGACAACCTTGGCTGGTTAGATTCTATAGTTTCTGTAATCCTGTGACTTTTGTTCATGTAGCTAGTTTTAGCCTGTTAACTTTTTTATTGTGATCCCAGTTTTCTTAGAATTTTATTTGTGTAATTTCTTTGAGATTTGGTTTTTTAAAGCACTTTTCTCCACAGAAGACTCTTTTGCTTTAGCCTGGTTCCTGGGTATACTGCCAATTTGGTAATATTTCAAATTAATGAGGGCTTTTAAAGCTAATGATATAGGATGAATTCTTTTCACCAACCCTGTATCTGAGGCTTGATGATTAGGAATGTTCAGAAAAATGTTTTCCAAACCTGCCACGTCACAGAAAGCAGCCTGAGACCAGCACATATCTGTCAATTCTCTCTTCTGGGCAGGCTTCCTCCCCAGCTTCCTCATCGTCCTCAGGAGTCCGGGTCCTCTGTGTGTAGTGAAACCGGGTTCTACCTCCCACCCTGCTCCAGTCCGAGGCTTTGTCTCCTGCCTGTGCCCTTAGGGCCTGGGAAGATCCAGATGGTGGGCAGCCGGGACTAAGAAGATAGCCCCACAGCAAACGCCCGGCTCCTTCCTCCCGAACCAGGAGGATTTACTCTGTCTTTTAGGATTTCCTTTACCTTCCCACCCTGTCGGCCATGCATTTGAAGAGACCTTTTTTTTTTTCCATATATGATCCAGCATTTTTAGGTGCATGGACCTGGGAGAAATTGTCCTCCACATGCGGTATGTTGCTAAAAAATGGCATTTTGAGGCCAGGCGCGGTGGCTCAAGCCTGTAATCCCAGCACTTTGGGAGGCCAAGGTGGGTGGATCACAAGGTCAAGAGATCGAGACCATCCTGGTCAACATGGTGAAACCCTGTCTCTACTAAAAATACAAAAAATTAGCTGGGCATGGTGGCACGTGCCTGTAATCCCAGCTACTCAGGAGGTTGAGGCAGGAGAATTGCCTGAACCCAGGAGGTGGAGGTTGCGGTGAGCCGAGATCGTGCCATTGCACTCCAGCCTGGGTAACAAGAGCGAAACTCCATCTCAAAAAAAAATGGCATTTTGAAATTATTTTCTAGTAAGTAAAATCATATTTTTCTCCAATCTGTATGACTTAGCAACTTGCCGCCATTAATTGTAACCGATGCTACAGAGCTACAGACTCCTAGACCTGAAAAAGAAAAGCGTGAAACAAGAGGTGGAGGTGGGGTGGGGGGGGTGCACGTGGGTGGGGGTGGGGGCATTTGCTCCGTATCACTGAGGGCTAGGATCACACTTGACTCTGTGGTGACTGGAAGATGAATCGTGAAGACACATACCTAGTTACCAAATTGTGAAATGGCCTTCACTAACCACAGCGTCCTCACTAGACCTCTGCCCTGAGTGGATCTTAGGATGTCACAGAGCCTAAGGAAGCATTCAGTGACCCACTGCTGCTTCCTGGCAGTTCAACTGACTCTACGCTGTTCTAAGAAAGTATTCACAAATCACGTGACGCCCTCGCAGTTATCAGAGGATGTTTCCTTTGTGCCTATGTTGGCTCATTAACAGAAATGAAATTGGCTTCACCCACCGACCAGCCCTAGGCAGATCTTGTCTGTGGTGATCCCATCACTGTCAGGGATGCACCCACGTGCCCCGCCCATTTCATGGGGTCCTATTTTGGACCTATTTTGGGTGACCGAAAGTTTAGTGCCTTCCTGGGCTGTGTCATTCATTCATTCACTCAGCTAAAAGGTACTGAGTGCCTGCTGTGTGCCAGATGCTATGTCAGAAACTGGAGATAGGAGAATGACTCAAACGTGATCTGGGCCCTAGAAGAATTCACTTTACACCGAAATAAAAGAAACACGAACACAAATTCGCATAGAAACTATTAAATCCAGCGAAGTTATTTTCCTCATAATACTTCATGCACAAAGACTCAAAAACTTTAACATTTCACAAAGGTTTAGAATTCAAAAGTGAAATGACGAAGGTTGGATTTGTGTTTTCGATGATGCTGCATCTTACCTAAGGATAATCAGTGAATGGCTGGTCCTTAAGGTCACAGATTCTGAGCACAGCCAGCCCAGGACCTCTTGCATCCTCTCCCACCAGAAAACCTGCTTATACATAATGGTGCAGGCACCACCCAGCTCTCGTGACATGATTAATGTCAGTGAACGTGTTCAAGAGCTTGCCACACTGGAGTCATTCTGAGACTTTGAAGAAATTAACTCATAGAATCCTCCATACGTCCAATGCACAAGGCATTCTTCATCTAAGAGTTGAGGACTGTCAGAGAGCTTAGGGAATGTTTCCGGAGTCACACCCCTGGGTGGAGCTGAGGTTTGAACCAGGCAGCTGGCTCCGGGGCCACAGTCTTCACCTTCACCTGTCAGCAGCTCCCACTGCCCTCTCTGGCACATCGATTTCATTTCCTGTTCTTGCTCCTGTCCCTTCTGTGACAACGTTTGGAGTCCTCCATTTGCCAGGTGCAGGGAAGAATAATAAGGTGTAGAGCAAAGTTTAAAATCAGTAATTCCGGAGTCAGCTGATGTTCCTACTCACCAGCTTTGGGCCGTGTTTCCACCCATCTAATCTTCAATGTGAAATAAAAACTAGATACGTCCCACCTGAGGAAGTGTCTGATGAGGAGTGTGTGTGAGCGCTGATCACCTTGCCTGCACTGTTATTTATCAGGTGTAATAAATAACACCTGATAGGTGTTATTTATTACAATCATGCAAAACCACAGTATAGAGGAGCTCGCAGTACGGAGCTGAACAGTGTTTTCCCCGCTCCTACACACACGCCACATGCCAGGGACAGCGTCCCCATCTGCCCAGTAGCTGTCCAGCGTTTGTCAAATGTGTTGGCACTTAGGCTTCTTGCCCTAAGGCACTCCTGTCAACAATTTCCTGTACCAGCCTACAGGAAACCTAAACTCCAACCCCAGTAATAGAGAGCTGAGATTAAATGCCTTTCTTCTTTGTTTACCCAGGCCTACAGAGTGGATGAAAGAGCCGCAGAGCAGGCTCGTTGGGAAGAAGCCTCCAAAGAAACCATCAAGAAAACCACCAAGCCCTGTCCCCGCTGCCATGTACCAGTCGAAAAAAATGGTGAGTCTGTGCTGAGTCGAGAATGAGGATGTTGCGGGCTCTTTGGGGAAAATCGTTAACAGTCAGAGATTCCAGGATTAAATGAGATGCTGTCTGAAGGTGCCTGGTATGTAGGGTAAGCCCTCGATAAATGTTACCCGTTATCATTATTACTATTGTTGTTTTTGTTACACAAATATATTTAATGAGTGAGTAGTTCCACCGCTATGTGAGGCAGACAGTTAGCATTTATGTGGTTGGAAAGGGAATAAATATAGAAACTAGAACCGAGATATGGAATGTGGTTGAGGATAAGTGCAGTGGGGAGGCAGCTGTCATTTTTCCGTCCTCCCTGGTGACCTTCCCCAGCGCTGATGCTGCACTGTATGACCATATTGTCTGCCAACTCTCAGTCTATAGCCTTCCTCAGCTTGGCAACGTTATTCAGAATTAAACTCTCATGTATATTTAAAGATCCCTGTGGCCTGACCCTGATGACTCACAGTGGCCAGTGGGGGACTTCCTGCTGTCTATGCTGGACATGTGAGGCCAAAGCCATCACAACCAGTGCTCAGGGAGCCCTTTCTAAATGTGATGCACTTGTGTGTGTGCAAAGCAGACTCAGCGGCACCATCACAGATGAGCAATGACACGAAGCCAGGTGCAGCTTCTCCCAGCTTCTCCTCAATGAGCATCAGCTACACCCTGGCTGGCAGGTTGCCCAGAGGTGGCTTGCGGGAGGGAAGTCCAGCCATCCCAGGATGGACACTCAAGCCTTTCTCTTTTCAGTTACGTCCTTCGGGAAGTCTTCCTTAACACAAGAGTGTGCTTGACATGTCCCAGAGCCGCAGGTGCAGGCTTAGCTCAGTCCAAGTCCTTAGTGCTGGATTAGTGGCTTCATGCGGAGAAAATAAAGAATTCACCCAGCGCATCCTTATTACTCCGTGGCATGCAGCAATGTTCCTAGAAAATGTGGGGATTGGCATGCACCTATAAACAGCAGAAGGCATCAATGAGTTCAAAGGAAAGACCTTCCCTAGGCTCCACCACCGCTCACTGATGAGAAGGTTGCACTGGGAACTGAGAGGGAAAGAACTCAGAAGGGCCCTTCCCAGGAGAAGATGTGCAAAGGTTTGGGAGAAATGGACCCAGTGTGTCACTGACAAGGTTTTAAAGCACAGAGATTAGACAGTCTTGCTCTGTCGCCAGGCTGGAATGCAACGGTGTAATCTCAGCTCCCTGTATCCTCTGCCTCCCGAGTTCAAGCGATTCTTCTGCCTCAGCTTCCCAAGTAGCTGGGACTGCAGGTGTATACCAACATTCCCAGCTAATTTTTTTTTTTTTTTTTTTTTTTTTTTGAGACAAAGTCTCACTCTGTCACCAGGCATCAGGCTACAGTGCAGTGGCGCGATCTTGACTCACTGCAACCTTGGCCTCCCAGGTTCAAGCAATTCTCCTGCCTCAGCCTCCTGAGTAGCTGGAACTACAGGTGCGTGCCGCCATGCCCAGCTATTTTTTTTGTATTTTAGTAGAGACAGGGTTTCACCATGTTGGCCAGGATGGTCTTGATCTCTTGACCTCATGATCTGTCCACCTCAGCCTCCCAAAGTGCTGGGATTACAGGCATGAGTCACCGCGCCTGGCCTAATTTTTGTATTTTTTAGTAGATACAGGGTTTCACTGTATGTTGGCCAGGCTGATCTTGAACTCCTGATCTCAGGTGGTCTGTGCGCCTTGGCCTCCCAAAGTGCTGGGATTACAGATGTGAGCCACCATGCCCGGACTTAATTTTTTGTTGGTTTGGTTTGGTTTTTTAATAATAATTCTCAGGATTGGTGAGGACATAAGTTAGCGTCACTTGCCTGGAAACCACTTTGGTAATACATGTATAAAGACCCTGTAATCCATCTCTGAAAATCTATCCCAAAGAAATAACCTGAAATATGTAATATACAAACACATCCACACCCCCACACACATTTTGGGAAAAAAGGTGCCAACTGCAGCATTATTTACATTGGGTACACTGAAAGTCATCTAAGTGTCTAATGACCTAGTATGAGAAGATGGGTTTATGTCGTGACAAACCCGTGGTATAGCAACACACATCCCCACAGTGCAGTGTCACCAGAGTTAAGACTCCGCCACAGGCCAGGTGCGGTGGCTCAAGCCTGTAATCCCAGCACTTTGGGAGGCCGAGACGGGTGGATCACGAGGTCGAGAGATCGAGACCATCCTGGTCAACATGGTGAAACCCCGTCTCTACTAAAAAAAATACAAAAAATTAGCTGGGCATGGTGGCACGTGCCTGTAATCCCAGCTACTCAGGAGGCTGAGGCAGGAGAATTGCCTGAACCCAGGAGGCGGAGGTTGCGGTGAGCCGAGATCGCGCCATTGCACTCCAGCCTGGGTAACAAGAGCGAAACTCCGTCTCAAAAAAAAAAAGAAAAAAAGACTCCGCCACAGACTGTGGCTGTGTGAGAGCCAGTTTCCTCATTCACAAGGTGGGTTTCAGTGGGACTTCCTTACAGGCTGGGCAGGAGGAGTGAAAGAGACAGTGTATCAAACGCACCCCGTGAGACGTGCACTGGTCTGTGTGGATGAGAAAGTCATGAAAGCAGTGGGGAAAGGTTTACATCCGTCCTAGTGAGAAATCAGAATATCAAAGCAAGTGGCAGCAAAGGCTGTCGGTTTTGCAATAAATGTATGTATAGGAAAAAAACAGAGTCAGAAGAAAAAGACTGGAAACAAGATGTTACCATTGTCATAGTCAGTAGCTCTGGGCATAATAGCGTTAAAGATGACTTTATTTTGTGTGTGTGCTTTTCTGTAATAAACATGGGTGATGTATAACCTTAGCAAAACAGTTAGTAAGAATCAGCCAGGTCTCTGTCTGCAGATGGGGAGGGTAAGGGGCTCCTTAAACACCCACTTCCAACAGGCGTCACAGGCAGGGCAGGCAGAGAATTTACTCAGCAGGTCTGGGGTCCATCTCTTAGTGGCCTCCTCGTTAGCCAGGCTCTGGTGGTGGCAGTTTGCAAGATAAGAAACGGTCAGCAAGTCTGGGTGTGGTGGTTCATGCCTGTAGTCCCAATTGGGTGGCAAAGGAGGGTGGATCACCTGAGGTCAGGAGTTCAAGACCAGCCTGACCAACATGATGAAACCTTGTCTCCACTAAAAATACAAAAATTAGCCGGGCAAGCTGGTGTGTGCCTGTAAGCACAGGCTAAGCCCTGGCACTTTTCCCTACTTGGGAAGCTGAGGCAGGAAAATCACTTGAACCCAGGAGGCAGAATTTGCAGTGAGCTAAGATCATGCCACTGCACTCCAACCTGAGCAACAGAGCAAGACTCTTGTCTCAAAAGAAAAAAAAAAAAAAAAAGGAAATGCTCAGCGAGCCTGGACCTGTTGCATTTTGTGTCACATAACACACAGCCCAGTCCTGTGGCCTTAAATACTATCCGTGTGCAGATGGCTCCCACATCTACATCCCACACTCGCCCCTGGGATTCTGGCTCAAACAGTCAGCTGCTTCTTTCGTGTCTCCACTGATTATTCAATAGACAGCTCAAATTTCACAAAGCAGAACGCTAGCTGTTCCTAGAAACCCTTTTCCTCTAGGGCACGCACTCCCAGCCAGCAGCACTGCCCAGTTCCTCAGGCCCTAAGCGAAAGCTTCTCCTTCCTTCCACCCCGTTCCTCGCCCTGCATTCAGTCCTCAGTCACCACGGCCTTCTTCCCCGTGCTCTGATGCAGCATCTGCCCACCTCTGTCTCCACGTCCCCAGCCAGTGCCCACCTTGCCCACCTCCTCTTCCAAGCACAGCCTCCCAAAGGGGCTCTCGCCTCTCCTCTCAGACATTGACGATCCATCTCTATGTAGATGCCTAGACTTCTCAAAGGCCAGGTCAGTCCTGCCCTTCTCCCCCAGGGGTCCCCCCTCCCTGGGCATTGTAAGAACACACATCCCGCTCCCACTCCCACCGTCCTCCCCAGGACGCTTCTGCACCGTCACTGCCCACGACCGGCTCCTTCCTGTCCTTCAGATCTTAGCCCAGCTGACCTTTTCTCAGTGAGACTGCCCCTTACCCCCCTGCCCTCCTGTGAGGGGCACTGTCAGCATCATCCGACCCCTAGAGGGGGAAGCGCTGCCATTCCCTCTACAGGGGGCCTGTCTGTGGATGGCCTTGAACCCTCTGGGCAATCACCTCTGCAAAGAGAATTCATTCTGGGTCCCTCTCCTTCCCCGGGTAGCTCATTTCCATGACTGTTGATTGGGGGTGGTCATAATGCCCAACCCACTAACCAAATTCAGTACCACTTGCTGAGAGCTACCGCAGCCCCACCCGAGCTTCCAGGCGCCAGCAGAGGCCTCTCAAGCTGTGCCTGAGCTGGGCTTCTGCTCTGCCCAGCCTGCCTTCCTCCCTTTCCATCTCAGAATCTGCTTCCCCCTTCACCCAACGAGTCACAGCCACCTGTTTAAGAATCATTTCATAACACCGCCTCCTTCCCAGATCATTGCTTAATTTATTTAGATGTCTCTTGTCTGTTGCCCCATTAGAACATAAGCCAAAGAGATCAGGGACCCTGATTGTCTAGGCCCCAATCCTAGAAGAATGCCTGGACAATAAATATTTGTTGAATTAAAACTTAGCTTGTAGGCTGGGCACAGTGACTCATGCCTGTACTTCCAGCACTTTGGGAGGCCAAGGCAGGTGGATCATTGGAGGTCAGGAGTTTAAGACCAGCCTGGCCAACATGGTGAAACCCTGTCTCTAGTAAAAAGACAAAAAATTAGCTGGGTGTGGTGGTGGGCACCTGTGATCCCAGCTACTCGGGAGGCTGAGACACAACGATCGTTTGAACCCAGGAGGCGGAGGTTGCAGTGAGCCGAGATCACGCCAATACATTCTGGCCTAGACCACAGAGTGAGACTCCGCCTCAAAAAAATATACAACAAAAACTTAGCTTGTAAACAGTTTAAAGACAGACACATAAACAGATCTTTTTAATAAAATAACATAGAGGAAGCGAGCTATCACAGCAGACAGACCCGGAGGAGGAGGCTTCCTGGAAGAGATGTTACCAATCAAGAACTGAAGAATGTACAGACATCAGCCAGGCAGGCAGGAGCAGGAGGAGGCGTCCTAGGCCCCAGGACTGCAGGAGGAGAGGCGCGGGCATGAGCCCCCAGCGTGTGGAGGCAGCTCCCGCCCCCTCAATGCTGGTGTTCCAGGCCCAGAGGAGCCTCAGCGGGAAGCCATGGATAGGGTGCAGAATGCATGTTCCTGCATGGCAGGTTTGGGACTTGGACTTGATTGTGTGAAGCAGGGAGATGTTCTAGGGTGAAAAGCAGGCACGTTATTTGTCGATCCACCTTGACTCAGACCAAGCCGGCAGCCTCCGAAGATGGAGCTGCAGGAGTCAGATGGTTCGTGACTGCAGGAGGATTCCTCCCCTTCCGGCTATGTCTTAGGAATATTGCGATGTGCTGTAAATGAAAGCACTAATTTTTCACCTCCAAATGTTTAACTTACAAACAGAAAAGCTGAGACTGGAAGCTTATAGCAATGGTCTAAATGGTTTTAAAGCGCATCACTATCTCTGAAACAGACGTAGCATCTGTGACCAAGGATGTTCCCTGGTTGTCACCGAGGTTCGTGGCCTATTACACACTCAGCTGTGTTTCAGGAATGCCCTTCTTCCCTCAGAGAAGCTGAAATCATAATGCCAGGAATTTCCATTTTAAGCACAGGCTAAACCCTGGCACTTTCTCCCGTAATCCCCTCCAATCTCCAGAAATTTCTTCCCTTCCGTCTCAGGCAGATGAGATTCTGGCTCCATTCCCTGAATAATGAGCGTGTACTGCTCCTTAAATCCGCCTTCAGGTTGTTTAGGGACTTCCACGCTCTCATTAAATCTAATGGAAGAATTGCTGGCCGGAGTCATGATGCTGACTGCCCGGCACAGGCTGGGCTTTTCACGGTCTGAGTGTCCATCTGCAGACAGAACTCACTACAAAGGAAGCCTTGTTCCCTTCATATCTGTATCCACAAATCAGCGTGAAGTTTCAGCGGCTTCCTATAAACATTTTTAAGCTGTCAAAGGTTGTAGAATTGCGATCCTCCACCCTCCTCCATGGCCTCGGGTCTAGCGCCATAGCCTTGCGTATATTAAGCACTAGGGAGGAAAGAAAGTTAATAACTAACATAAATATCCTCTCTTCCCATTTCCTTTTTTTTTTTTTTTTTTTCCGAGACGGAGTTTTTCACTCTTGTTGCCCAGGCTGGAGTGCAATGGCGCGATCTCGGCTCACCTCAACCTCCGCCTCCTGGGTTCAGGCAATTCTCCTGCCTCAGCCTCCTGAGTAGCTGGGATTACAGGCACGTGCCACCATGCCCAGCTAATGTTTTGTATTTTTAGTAGAGACGGGGTTTCACTATGTTGACCAGGATGGTCTTGATCTCTTGACCTTGTGACCCGCCCACCTCGGCCTCTCAAAGTGCTGGGATTACAGGCGTGAGCCACCGCGCCTGGCTTCCCATTTCCAATTTTTTTTTTTTTTTTTTTTTGAGACAGAGTTTTGCTCTTGTTGCCCAGACTGGAGTACAATGGCACAATCTTGGCTCACTGCAATCTCCACCTCCTGTGTTCAAGCATTTGTCCTGCCTCAGCCTCCCAAATAGCTGGAATTACAGGCACCTGCCACCACACCTGGCTAATTTTTATATTTGTAACAGAGATGCAGTTTCACCATGTTGACCAGGCTGGTCTCAAACTCCTGACCTTGTGATTCACCCACCTTGGCTTCTCAAAGAGCTGGGATTACAGGCATGAGCCACCATGCCTGGCTGATATATAGCCAGGTGCCTGTAATCCCAGATGTCCATGCTTGAAATGCCATGTGACAGAAAGGCTTTGATCTCATGCTAATGGATGGAGTGGGGAAACCCTGCAAAGGCCAGCCCATCTAGATTCTTCCTGACCTCTCTGTGCAGCATTCCTTCCTCTGGGGGATGGACGGGACTCTTTCTGAAATCTGGCCCTTATAACCCACAGTCAGAACAGCCCTGGGCTGGTAAAAGGAGGGCAGGGAAAGGTCAGAGGAAGAGATTCTCTTTCCTGGGGCCTGTTTCTGAGGCCTAAACTGCCCCAGCATTTTAACAGAAGACTGTTAGAAGAGCCAGGGACTGTGTATGAAAAGCAAATATATCAGCCAGGCATGGTGGCTCACGCCTGTAATCCCAATACTTTGGGAAGCCTAGCTGGGCAAATCACAAGGTCAGGAGTTTGAGACCAGCCTGGTCAACATGGTGAAACCCGATCTCTACTAAAAATACAAAATGTAGCCAGGTGTGGTGGCAGGTGCCTGTAATCCCAGCTACTCAGGAGGCTGAGGCAGAAGAATCGCTTCAACCCCGGAGGCGGAGGTTGCGATGAGCTGAGATCGCACCACTGTACTCCAGCCTGATGACAGAGCAAGACTCTGTCTCAAAATAATAATTTATATATACATGTATATATGCACACACACACATATATATTTATGTATATATATGCTTATATATATATATATATATTAAATATCACAACAGGAAACTTTCTCACCTTTTCATTTAGAATTGCTTTAACAGTTCATTAAGTTTTAATATTGCTCAATAATTTTGAATGAATATGATATCCTATGATCTCAAAATGATCTGTTTTATGGTGTGATAAAATATTTATATTTTAGAGAAACTGAAGTGGTTTTATAATGTCACACCATATGACGTATTATTTACATCATAAATATACAACTATTCAATACGTACTGAAACTGGCACAAACCTAAGTGGAAAGTATGAAAATAAAAGTGTTGTAAGTTTTCTCCTGTATTTTCCACTCATCTGTAATTTATGATCTTTAAAACAAGCCAGAAAGAAGTAGGAAAACAGGGGATTTTACATGCAGACAAGTTATCTTAAAACAAATGCCTACTGCTATATCGTCATAAATATTTTAAATTAGTGAAAGTTCTCATGCCAGGTTTCTAATAATAAAAATGAGGCAGCACCAAAGCAATTACTTGGAAAATTTGGCAGCAAAAATCAATTAACAAGGTAATTGGTAAGAGTGAGTAATGGAGCACTTTCAACGCTAGGCAGGATTGAAGTGAAGAAACTGCATTTGCTGGGGTTATCCAAGAAATCCAGACAGAAACGGTTCTCTGCACATCCTCATGCAAACTACTTCCTCCTCACTTCAGTTCCCCCACAGTGACTGAAGCACCCGTGTCTCCCCTCCAGAAACTCATGGAGTCTACATTTAACGAGTGAGGGAGGTGAATAATCCCAAAATAAGTCCCAAGATAACAGACTTTTCCTCGTGTGCCGAAGAGAACTTGTTCTGTGAAAGAAAGGACATTGGAATCACACAGAGCTTGGTTAAATCTGAGTCTTCACCCTTTAAAAGTGCTTCATTGGGCCAGGCGCGATGGCTCACGCCTGTAATCCCAGCACTTTGGGAGGCCAAGGCAGGTGGATCACGAGGTCAAGAGATTGAGACCATTCTGGTCAACATGGTGAAACCCCGTCTCTACTAAAAATACAAAACATTGGCTGGGCATGGTGGCGCATGCCTGTAATCCCAGCTACTCAGGAGACTGAGGCAGGAGAATTGCCTGAACCCAGGAGGCGGAGGTTGCGGTGAGCCAGCCTGGGTAGCAAGAGCGAAACTCTGTCTCAAAAAAAAAAAAAAAAAAAAAAAAAATGTGTTTCATCTTGGGGAAATTCTACAGCAGAGTGGTGCTCTTATCTCAAAGACTTCGGGAAGCAAATGAGATAACACACATAGAACATCTAGCATTATTGGTTACTTCCTTTCTATCCCTCTCATCTTAATTACAATTTTGTAAAGCATTAAGGAACATATTCCCCATTGGAAATAACATGCCAACAGGCTCGGTGGCTCACACCTGTAATCCCAGCACTTTGGGAGGCCGAAGCAGGTGGATCACCTGAGGTCAAGAGTTCAAGAACGGCCTGGCCAACATGGCGAAACCCCGTCTCTACTAAAAATACAAAAATTAGCTGGGCATGGTGGTGGACGCCTGTAATCCCAGCTACTTGAGAGGCTGAGGTGGGAGAATCACTTGAACCCAGCAGGCAAAGGTTGCAGTGAGCTGAGACTGCGCCACTGCACTCCAGCCTGTGGGGTGAGAGCAAAACTCCATCTCAAAATAATAATAATAATAACAATATGCTATCCCAGTTCCTGTTTTATGAAGTTGGCCAAGCCAAGTAAGTAGCACTATAGAAAGGGCAAACATAAATCAAAATATATTTGAACAATTATACATTATATTAAGTTAATCATCAAATTTTATTAATTTATTTAAATATATTTTATATTTAAATATAAATATATTAATATTTGAAATATATTTAAACGAGGAATTGACCCCTATCTGTGGAACATGTAGCATTTGTCTCTAAATCCTATTTCAGGAGAATAAAGTCAGATTTACAAGTAAAATTGTTCTCGACAACAGTGACATGCTTCAATTTCATTCATTTTTTTAATGAACGTCGTAAGTTAGAGATGCCCTATCGTGCGTTCTGATTTTTTTTTCTCAGTTCAGTTTCTCTCTGCCCTTGTATAGCTTGTGATTTTTCACTTAGAAAGCAATGTCCAGGCTGGCCTGTTGGTTTGGGAATGCGTGTTTTCCAGGTATTTGCTGCGAACCCACCACATCTTTGTTTTCTGCCCCCAACAGGAGGCTGCATGCACATGAAGTGTCCGCAGCCCCGGTGCAGGTTCGAGTGGTGCTGGAACTGTGGCTGCGAGTGGAACCGCGTCTGCATGGGGGACCACTGGTTCGACGTGTAGCCAGGGCAGCCCGGGCGCCCCATCGCCTGGTCCTGGGGGATCGTGCACAGTGTCCTACTTTCTCGCTAATTCTCTTTCCAAACACACACACGCACGCACGCACACACGTGCACACACATGCAAACACGCACGCACGCACACACACGCGCACATGCAAACACGCACACACGTACACACATGCAAACACACACGTACACACACACGCACGCGCGCACATGCAAGCACACACGCACACGTGCACACACATGCAAACACACACGTACACACACACGGAAACACACGCACTCACACATGCGCGCACACACACGCAAACACGCACACACACATGCAAACACACACGCACGCACCCGCGCCCGCAGTTTCTTTCAAAGTCCAATTACAGCAAAATGACAGAAGTTCCTGAATCCCTTTCAGTTTGTCCCCCGGCAAAAAAAGACCAGCAGAGCCATCTGTGACACTAGCAAGAGGTGTTCTCAGCCTCAGGATGACACAAATCCTTAAGAATTCTATCTATATGGCCGGGCGCGGTGGCTCAAGCCTGTAATCCCAGCACTTTGGGAGGCCGAGGCGGGTGGATCACGAGGTCAAGAGATCGAGACCATCTTGGTCAACATGGTGAAACCCTGTCTCTACTAAAAATACAAAAAATTAGCTGGGCATGGTGACACGTGCCTGTAATCCCAGCTACTCAGGAGGCTGAGGCAGGAGAATTGCCTGAACCCAGGAGGCAGAGGTTGCGGTGAGCCGAGATCGCACCATTGCACTCCAGCCTGGGTAACAAAAGCAAAACTCTGTCTCAAAAAAAAAAAAAAAAAAAAAAAAAAAAAAGAATTCTATCTATATAAATTGCATTAATGAAATATCAACTATGCATAAATCAACTTTCCAACTAAATGAGAAATTAAGAGAGTTAATTTGAATGTTGAATGTTTGAATTACAGGGAAGAAATCAAGTTAATGTACGTTCATTCCCCTTCCTTATTTGCAACTTTAGAAAGCAATTGTTTTTCCGAAAGTATTACAAAAGAAATCTATGATTTGTTGTTGAGTATTCATTTTGCATCTTGCAGATTTTGCTGATACATTTGACTCCACTGTAAATGTAATGGATAAAGTGCCTATACAGGAGACATGTTTAGAAATGATTTCATAATGATATTCAATCTTAACAAAAGTGGACATTATTAAATCAGAATCTTTAAAGATGAGCCTTTCCAGAACTACTGAAATGAAGGTGTGCCTGACTCTCTCCATCAGAAGGGTTTCCGCCCCTCTGATACACTCTCTCCATCCAATCTGCAAGTCCCAGGGAGCTCAGCACACTCGGGTTCCCCCAGGAGAGATCATCTCTTAGGATGGTAGACTCACTAGAATATTCCTTAGGTTGACATGGATTGGATTTGAGTTGGATCAAAGTTTCAACTTTTTCCTTCAGCCATTCACAACACAATCAAAAGGTTAACAGCACAAACGTGGCAAACTGTATTTTCCTATGCACACTACACAGAAGAGGAAGTACAACCACTATCTTTTATTCTACTTGTATTGTCTGACTTCTCAGGAGGATCGTGAATATAACTGAAGGCATGAGTCTCCCCGGCACACGGAGGCCCTTTTGGATGTAGAGACTCTGTAAATTATGAAATCGGCAACAGGGCTTCTCTTATTAGACCTAGCACCTGAAATCCTTGCTGGAGGGAAGAGAGGGGATGAACGCAGAAATGTTCCACATCCCGAGGACACCTGTCCCTCTTTTCCTTACTGCCTGGGACAGCTCATTTCTTCCAGCCATCCAGGGACAGTCCAGTCTGCTCAGAGACCCTGCACCAGAGTGAGACGGGACTCCGTAGCATCCACACCGGCATTCACAGCCTCCTATGGCTTCACTGTCTGAAAATCTACCTACTCCAACGTGGCCCCACGGTGACAGCAGACCTGCGGCAGGAAGCCCGAGGCTCACATAGGAATGCTGGAGAGATCAGTGTCTCTATAGGATGGGAAAAAAGAGAGGTCACAGGCATGAGCCCCTGCACCCAGTGGCTCCTGTCCACACTGAGTCCAGACCCTGATCAGGGCCTGACTTAGCGTCACTGGCAATCCCACCAAATTGCAATTCCTTACATCGGCCCAACGTTGACAAATCAGATGGCTCCCTTCTGCCACATGGAGCACACAGTGCTTTCCATCATCCATAGCTTTTTTCCTGAGGATGTCTGCGTTACTGCTGCTTCCCACTCTGCATGCTGCGCTGGGCTTGCCATGCCTGAATGAGGCTTGCTCCACGAGCTCAGGCACCCTAGGAACCCTGTGTTCAGCTGTTCGGCGTGGTCTCCTTTCATTTCTTGGTGGTGGTCTTTTCCTTTGTCAGAATAGAACAGTGATTCTTAAAATAAGTTAGAGCAAAAACATCCAATACACATGAACATGCCTCAAAATCACAAGTTATTTGCACAAAAAGCGTCTAACAAAATGTGAATGTATCAAAGAGGCTTTGCAGGAAAAAATCTATTTTTCTCTGAAATGTGTTGAGATTATCTGACAACTCTAAAATTGTACTTAAATTGTCAATAAAAGCATCAAAAGAGCTTTTGAGTCTGTCTTTGAAGATGTATTTTCAATAAATGTGAAGGGGGAGGGAGGGAATCACAGGCTGTGCTATGCCATGGGCCTCACTTATATCCTGGAGGAGCTGCCTGATGATGAAATGGCCATCCTCATATCGACTCCAAGCTCCAGATTAAGCCTGGCTGTTACTCTTTGTTAAGTGGCGTTTCTTAAGGCTGTCAAAATTTGAAAGGGCTCCAAAAAGCAAACCCTCATTCAAAAAAATATCTAACAGTTACTTTCTTGCCATACTAGCAAACTTTTCTAAGAAGAATTTAAAAGAGACGTTTGGGTTGGAAAATATCTATAGGTATTTTTTCTCTCATATCATTCTAGAAAATTTCAGTGACTTTGCATTGCTCTCAGTGTGGGTGTGTTGACACAGCATTTTCAAAGAACTGCATTAGCGGCCACGCATTGTTTCACAATGAGCCCAGGCTTGAGGGATCTGGAATGGAACATTTTGAAATAGGGCCTGAACTAGATTAGACAAAGAGGCTCATACTGAGGTCCTCTGGGTGCCAGCAGCCACAGGGAACACTGCAAGGAAATGCAAAGGTCATGGTAATGATGGCCCAGGTGACAATAGAGCAAGAGGCAGCAGAGAAAGTGGGTGAGCTCTGGGCACCAGTGTGGGAACCCCACCTCCAAAAGCCACCTGTGTAAGAACTTTGAGGACAGTAATGGCATGCACTGCATAAGGTTATATGAGGATTAATTAATTCACCTTAGACCAGAGCATCGCGTAAAGGAAGCACTGTGTCATTGTTCACTATTATTAAAAAATGAACCAGTCATTGGAAACTACAGAACAAGCTAACAGAAAACACAGAAGTAATGCAAAGTGATTACAAGTGCTGGGAATATCTCTTTGAATATACAGTTGCAGATTTAGGGATTTATGTTAGAGGCAGGTGATTCATGCTGCATATTCGTGCACATTGCATTATCTTCTAGACAGTCCCAGAAGTGTTACCTATAAAGGTAATGTTACATCGGGGTTCAGGGTGCCCCCAGCTCTCCTGAGAGGACGTTTCTCCAGGTTCTTGATCTCCTGCCCTCTTAAGAATGAGAGAGGGGACGACAGCTCATTGTGCAGTAAATGCTGGACTCAAAAATGGTTGTAGAAAGTGACTTATTTAGACAAAGAGAGAGAAACCAGAGGGGAGAGAAAGAAACCGCTAACTCTCACACTGAGAGAGAGAATCCAGAAAGATGGAATCCAGGAGAGAAGAGCAGCTTCCACACTGAGTGGAAGGGAATAGAGATGGAGTTTAGGAGGGGAAGACAGGCTTCCCCGAGAGTGTGGAAGGGGACCCCAGAGGGGAAATCCAGGAGAGAGAAAGATGGCTTTCTCAAAGGGAGTGTTCATGGAGTCCAAAGGGGTGTGGAAGAAGGGGACTTTTAACCTGGAAGGAACCCCCATTTTCCCTAAGACCCCTAGCCAATGAAAGGAGGTCCTTAGAACTTCCGCTGAAGTGATTAACTCGTAGTTTCTTCCTGCGCCCCCCAGATTTAAACATAAACTGTTAAATCTCCCAAATGAAGATGGATGGGAGAGGGAGAAAATACTTGCCGTTAAAACTACGGCCCCTTATGGATCCTGGAAAGAGAACACATTCCCTCACTAAGTTGCTCACTGTGTGTGTGTGTATGTGTGTGTGTGCGCGCGCGCTATATATGCAGATGATGTCCAGGGTGTGAATTAGGGTTAATATTGTGAGTGGAAATGAATAGGCACAAATGTGAAATGCTTATGCAGAAGGCACTGCAGACCGTGGCGGAGAGCCGGCAATCCCAGTTTGGGTAGTGGGCATGCCTCATCACCATCTGCCTTTACGAATGTTTCTGGTAGTGTAGAGAATATTGTTGTTCAGTTTTTTAAAGAAAATCCTATTTCAAAACAACATTGAACCTATCTTCAATCCACGGTGAATAAACTAACAAAATATTTTAGAACTGGCCGGGCTGGCCAGGCGTGGTGGCTCACGCCTGTAATCCCAGCACTTTGGGAGGCCAAGGCAGGTGGATCACCTGAAGTGGAGTTCGAAACCAGCCAGGCCAACATGGTGAAATCCTATCTATACCAAAAATATGAAAATTAGCTGGGTATGGCGGCAGGCACCTGTAATCCCAGCTACTCGAGAGACTGAGGCATGAGAATTGTTTGAACCCAGGAGGCAGAGGTTGCAGTGAGCTGAGATTGAGCCACTGTAACTCCATCTCAAAAAAAAACAACTTAAGAACTGTTGCTGCAGTTTGAATAACCATGCCCAAAAAAAAAAAAAAAATCATGGAGTATTGTCCAGGAAGACCCACTTGACTATACGAATGGGTGGCTCTGCCCTGAGGGACCCACCATGCTCCCTCATCTCATCCTCAGCTACACAGGCTGAGAGAACCGGTTTTGTCTCTATACCAAGGGGCGACTGGGTCCCGAAAGACTAACACTAACATTACTCATAAGAGAATGGGTATCAAAGCTAAGATGTCAGTTTCCAATTGATATTTACCATGAGAA